CCATGAAGCCATCGATATCCTGAATTAAATTAATTTAATGAACAGAAAACTTGAATAAGGCAGGATTAGATAAAACTTTTTATATTGGCTAAGCAAACTCGAAAAAGATCAGACAATAGTAAAATCAGCAAAAAGAAGACGATTGAATCAAGGTAACACGTTTAATTTTAGAAAAGAAATCGCAAGGAATCCAGAAAGGAACAATCGGAAACAAAGAAGAGACATCTAAAATGAGTGTAAGCAAAGCAATAGAACCACAACATTTGAAGTTAGCACACAAGAGACTAGGGCATGAGAAATCATAGGCTTGGCACTATGGATAGAAGCACGATAGATGCGGCACAGACGGGAGCTAGTTGAATAACAGTAGACATATTTGAACATAGACAGGGTCCGCATTTATATCGTGATTTTTCGATACATCCATCATTATTAATACTTTTTCGCATAATCCGTAGCTAATAAGTTAGCCAGTTATTTTTACTCGAAATGACCTCAACATCGAAGTGCTAGATTTTACCCTTAATGGGTTCATTTCCCTCCATTAAATCAGACATTTTTCTATAGATAATATATTGTTGACATCGTTACTTGCATTTAGTTGTTTGATTATACTCTATTTTTTAAAGAAAGTAAGTCCAGTTTTTTGAGGTCATGATTGTATTTATCACACTGTCTTGTCATATAATAATCCTATAATTCTACAGCCATTACTCAAATTCACGACAGTTCACAGATCTCACGCAAAGTAATAGCAACATCTCAGCTTATGTGCCAATAAAACTTTTATGTTTTATCGATTCAGGTGACAACTTTGTCCATCGTTGACTGCCCGGTTGCTTATGATAACTTTTGTCGGGGTGTGGTGGCAACATCTAGCGCCAGAACAGTAATAATTCCCTCGCCTGATTGCTTGGAGGCAAACAGGCTAAGCCAATATGCCAAACACGTAGCTCAGCAAGTCAGTGCTGCTAATTGCAATCCTGGTCCTAATGGTGACGCAAACGGAGTCCAATCTGCCTTGCTCCAGCCAATGCCTATGAGAAGAGGCAAAGCTCCACCAGAGGCAACTAAATTTTCTAATTTTGTGAATGCTTTATTTCCATAAAATCTGTCGTAGTCTGTGTATGGGAAACGAAGCTTATAGGTGCTGTATACTTTTTTTTGCATTTTTTGCATATTTTTGGAATATTCCATTCCGTAAAGTACGTAATTACACGTACCACCCAGCTCAAAAATGCGTAACTCTATGTTACTGATAGGGAAAAATTAGATTATATAAAATCTCATCTGATGCTTACTTAAAAAGTTAGTTTAATTTTATCCGATAGTATAAAAACAGGGTGTTTAATGACTAGCCTCACTAGAGGTCAAAATAGGGCTGTCTTTGGGCAGCTGTACGATTTTTTTAATAATGCAAACAGAAGGCCACACCATCTTGGTAAGCATAACTTCGACCTAATTAGGGTGGTAAGATTGTCAGTCAATGCACTGAATGCAGCAGATCAAAGAAAACAATTGTAAGTCAATCTTGTCATATAACCCTTCTTATCTATTATAAACATTATAACATCCCTCATAGTTTTTGCAATTTGATGAGAAAATATCATTCGATAAGTTCAATGATATATTGTATCAAGCTTTGTTGCAAAAAGTAGAGGAGACATATGATAGGGAGAGGGGGAAAGCATTTAAGATTTTAGATAGTAAATCTAGACTCAAGCGTGATTTGAGTTGGATTCTCACGCCGGAAAATGTCGTGAAACTACAAAACGTGATAGACAAAATGTCAAAAAGGATCTTGGAGTTAATGGAATAATAGCATCATAATAAAATGAATAAATATGGGATCTATAAGCAGAGGAAGGTCCGGCCACTCGGAAAAAACGAAGCTGACTCTAGAATTACGAATCACATAGTCCAGATAAGAAATGAAGATAAAGTAGTGAATCTGTCTTCTGTGTCTCTTGATCTTGAAACCACGGCGATCTTCAAGAAGGGATTGAATTTTGCTCTTCAGAATCAAAGAAAGACAAGCAATGATATTTTAGTGGAGCTGATAGATACTTCTGAGAAGCTAACGTAAGAATCAAAAAGCGTGTTGAAAATGGAAATCATCTTAATAATCTTGGCTCATCAAGAACTTACGGATAGGAATAATATAACGAAGTTACATAGATAATTGAAAATAAATGATCAAATAGAAGTTGTTTGACCTTGATTTCGCAACTTAGTCATAGTAGCAGGAGTTCATAGTAGGCATGATAATTTCCAGAGTCGGACTGTGGACATGGTACATTCCCAGACATTTCTCCGGCATCGTAGTTGGCATCGTCAATGAGTTTTAGCCTATTTGCTGAGACTAGCAAGACTCACTGACGATGCCGACTATGATGCCGGCGAAACGTCCTGGGATGGAATATCAACTTAAGAGAAAAGAGGAATGTTCTTTATGGGATTGAAGGGTGGAAGAAAGGAAGTGATGCATTTTTGCACAAGAGATTCCGAAAAAATTTGGACACAAGACCCCAAAGAATGAGATATAATGGGGGTGGGATAGGAAAGAGGATAACTGAATAATGAGTCTGAAGCATATAAAGAAGACGCTTAGGTATGAGCATTACTAGCTTTAAATCTTGGAATATACCGTAAACGAGGACGAGAATTTTGGGCTTTTAGGCAACCATATTTCAGACAGCCAGAGAGTGATTGTAATGTGTAGCAGCAAACAATTAACATGTGGGGTGGAAAGATGGGTGGCTGTATGAAGATCAGAAGCTCTGCAAACTCAGCTGGAACCGGTGGTGAAGATGATTACGCTTCGTTAAACCCACTTTTGGAGACATTCTTATGAGACATTGGAATAAATGAGAACAGAGAATTGTTTGAATAGGTTAATTGATAATATGAAGTAGGTAGGTATGAATATTAAGATAATGTGGCTTTCTGTTTGATCTCAGTCTTCTTTAGCTCTATAGTGTTGGTTTAACCTCGTTTTAGCAACTTGGTCAGAGTCAGGGAGAACTTTTGGAACGTTCCTAGTCCTGTTTACTCTTCCATAGTATTCGTGATTTCCAGCATCGGACCATTGACTTGGTACATCCCCAAATGCTTCGCAGTCATCGTAATCGGCATCGCCACTGAGAGGCGCCATCGTCAGCATATAGTTACAACTTAGCAAAGTTTCCAGTGAAGGCAATCCCTTTGACCAATTTTCTGTTCAACCATTGTGGCATCACTCCTTGCCTCTATTTTTTGCTACACCTTCTAGTGCCGCTTCATATGGCGACTTTACCTATTCATTTAATTCTGTTCTCTTATTTTTCTCCAATTTCGCCTAAGAGTATGTCGTTACAAGTGGGTTTATTTAAGCGCAATCATCTCCTCCACCGGTACCAGGCGCCGTTTACAGGGTTCCTGACCTTCACCTGCCCCCTTTCTCGTGCTCCGCTTGTCATTTATTCGCTGCTACACACCAAAATCATTTTTTGATTGTCTGGAATCCGGCTGCCTAAGAACCTTCAATTCCTGTCCCCGATTATGCCATATTCGAGGATGTATATAAGATGATGGCCATGCCCATGTGAATCTTCATCTAATTAGGCTTGAAACCCATGACTCGGTTATCATCTTTCTCATTCCCACTAACATTGCGTCTCATTCTTTGGGACCCTGTGTCCGGCCTAACTCATACCCGCCTTTTTGAAAGTGCACTAATTCCCTTTTTTCTTTGAATCTCGAAAAGCACAGTCCTCTCGTATTTACAGTTGACACTCCCATATAAGCCTAGGGTGCTAGTATGTTTATGTGTGTGTTTGCTGGTATCCCTCGTGGTCAAGCATGTCACCATCCCTTCCCATTAAGGTACGCACGAAAAATGCACACACCCATTCACACTGGTGACCTATATCTGGTCCACCTATACCTTTAGCCTTTAGTTTCCTATCCCGCATCCCCTCGGGGTAAATTTCTGGCCGATTCCAGGTTTGACTTCTCTCACTGCAATAACCTTTTATTGACTTCCCTTTTTCCTTCATGAGCCGCTCTTTGGCAATGTAACTCTGCTAACGATGCCGCCCTTCACTGACAATGCTGACTACCATCCAGATAAAACTTTTGGCAAAATACTAATTTAATGGTCTGATAATGGGAATCAAGAATATTATGTCAAATGACACAGCATTAGGTACGTTTCACAAGGTTTTTTCTGACTTTTCGATCAAGTTGCATAAACAAGGTCGAACCAACTCTATAAAGGTAATGGAGACTGCGACTTAACAGAAGACCACAGCATCTTCGTTTTCATACCTACAATGCAAAGTTAAGACAGCCACAATTATTGGAACATTTTCCTAAGTTAAAGAGTATAGGCTGAGATTTAGTCTATCATATGACAAACATCCGCATAACAAAATCTCATTCTTATTTTTTCTTCATAATTATGTTTGCGAGGCTACCAGTAGATCATATATACGAGATGTATTTGCCATATTTCGTTTAGGGTAATTTAATATTGGTGGTTGAATTTTTTCCACAATGCAATAAGTGGGCCTTACGTTTCCATTAAATTACGAAAACCTTGCTTCCCAAAAGGTATTTTCTTACAGGGTCGACTGCAGTTTCTAGCTCACCCAGGCCTCAACACCCTCTACGGGACTCGAACCGGGTAATGTTGCGTATAACCTTGATACAGTAAACGCTACTCCACAATTCTATATGATTCAAGGACATTCGTAACATTGTTGCATAGTAGCTAGTGTTTCGAGGTTATACTATGCGCTAGTAGGTTTTGAGTCCCGCTGGGGGTGATGACGAGACCTATGCGAGGTCGAAAGTGCAATCCACCCTGTGTGAAAATAAAGTCTGGGAAGCAAGACTATGTTTAATTCCATGGAAACATAAGGTCTACTTATATGATTTTGGGAAAAACTCTACTATCAGTCCTTCATCACCTTAAAATGCATACTTCTCATATACCCCATCCTTTTTGCAACATCATAGTTAAACTGGGATAAAATAATCTTGCAAACTATTTACCCTTATTTTTCGTATGCAAGTAGAGTTTCGAGACTACCAGTAAATCAGTAATATGAGATGTATTTACCTCTACTTGCATACTAAAAATATGTAACGTACTCGATTGTTATAGCAAATATACATTTGCTTCATCAACAATCTTACCAAAGAATGTGATATTTTAAAAGGCCTGGCCTTCCTTGAAATTCACATCTGCCCTGTGACCAAAGGGCACTTGTGGCAATGTGGCCGAGTGGCTAAAGTTTCAAGCTCATATTTTGAACTGTGAAGGTTCGAATCCCGCTGGGTGTGTTGATAAGACCTATGCGGGGTCAAGACTGCAGTCCAACATGGATGAGAGCAACTTTAGGGCAAGAAAGGCTATGCAAAATTCAATGGAAACGTCAGCTATACTCATATAATTGTAGGAAAATTCGACTACCAGTCCTTCATCACTTTAAACGAAATAGGGTGAATACATCTCATATTTATCCTTATCTTATTATGATTAACTGTTTTCAGATTTGATTGGAGGAAAATCTGTGTAAAAAGTATTTGGATAAGATGTGAATATTTTAGTGTGTAGTTATATCAGTTAATCAGGCCTCCTTTATGACTAAAATGTTATATGAGATGTATTCACCCTATTTCGTCTAAGGTGATTAAGGACTGGTGGTAGAATTTTCCCATAATGATATGAGTTGAGCTGAAATTTTCATTGAATTTCACAAGCCTTGCTTTCTCAAAAGTTGTTCTCATCCAGGGTGGACTGCAGTTTCGACCTCGCATCGGTCTTATC